ACCGGGATAAGACTAACGCCCACAAGCAATGCCGCAACAATGCCAGCACTGTTCGCAATTCCCACATTCTCAAACATGGGAGGGAACCAGAACGGACCGAGAAAGCCCCAAATTTGCCTCACAAAAGTAACGAACACGCCAATGCTACCAGCTTCTTCAGGATAACAATCTACAGCGTATGTGATCAGAACTGTGGTAACAATCTGGTTGCCTGCTGCACCTATACCGGCACCAACAATGGGGGTTACGTTCCAGTGTAGGTCAGGGGCCTGCTCGATGCGCACGAGGAACACGACCACACCGCAAATGGTGAGAAGAATACCAAAGTAACTCAGCCAAAGGCGGAACTCTGGAGCAGGCCGGAGGGGAGCCATCTTCTTTGCACGCCATCGCATCCAGAGGTCACTGGAGTGTCCGCCGATTTGCTCGCCGATAACGGTGCCGACGATGACGCCAAGGAACTGTAGGCCGATTTGTTGGGCGTTGAAGTGGAACTTCTCCCCGAAGAGTTGCGGAATTTCAACCGTTGCGAGAACAGACGCGAAGAGGAATACCATTGCGTATGCGCAAGCCGGAATAACTACACATGGGTACTTGAACAGTCGAAGGGGCGAGATAAACTCTGAGAGGGTGATGGGTGTAGGGTCGATACGACGGAACTTCAAGTACATCTCCTTGTACGCTGCGAAACCTGATTGCGCATGTTGCACGTCGCCGTGTCGGATGAAACGCGTCTCTGGTCCGAAAAGGGTGTACAGAATGACTTGGACACCATTCACGATCGCAAGGATCCAGTAGATCCAGCGGTAGCCGACATTGTATGTAACAAAGCCGAAGATGAGTGGCGCCAGAGGGATACCAAGGGTAATCATGACCGTCCAGATACCCATGAACTTCGCTCTCTCCCTCTTGAAGAACGTTTCAACCACCACGGCACTGCCAATTGCATTCGGGGGTGAGATGAAGAAGCTCTGGAAAGCTCGGCAAGTTGCCATGGCAGCGTAGGTTTGGCTCTTCGCGCAGCCAACATTGAAGACTAAGCTGCCGATCAAGGATATAATGAAGATAGGTCGGCGTCCGTATCGTGTAGAGAGTGGCCGCCAGAACAGCGGAGCGCCTCCAAGGATGGCAATTTGCAAAGAGGTAAGATACGATGCTCTTTGGAGGCTAACACCCAGGTCTTCGGAGATATCCTCGTAGGCTGGAATAATTGCTGCAGCAGGAAATGCGCACATCATGGCGTGAAAGGCAACAAAGAAGAGGTTCATCACTTTCTGCGTCCTTCGTTAGTAGCCGTCCAATCGATGTGTTTGTAGTGACTTGCCTTCCACTGGGGCCAGTTGTATGGATCGGCCGTACCCATAGTGGGTATAGGATCGAGCTCAAGTGTGCCATGTCTTTCCAAGAGATACTGCCGATGCTCCTCTGAGAGATGCGTTGCTTCATCTTTGTCGAGATAGGTACCGTGAGTAGGTAGACGCTCTATATCTTCACTACGAACCGGCTCGCTTGCGACGATCTCTTTGTCGTTCTCCATGACTGATGGGTGGTTCTCAGTGTCTAGGCCCTATGGGTGGACCGCGAGGAGGTGTAGTACAAGGGAGAAAGGCCAGCAGTCTCGAACACACTTGTTTAGGTGGCAACCCCATATTATGTACCCGTTCTCCCCATACCGATTAAACTGCGGAAGAAGACTTTCGCGGGGACCCCCAGTGGAGACCCCAGATGTAGGATTATTGGCTGGTCGCTAGCCCTCGGGTTTCAGACAAGGGTTGTTAGCCGTCGTCGTCACGTTTTTGTCGCTATCTTTCGTCATCCTACTAATCGAGAAGCGGAATTGGAACTCGGCAGCGACACACCGAGGCTTATCATGTTCGTTGAGTACCGACGAACTGGCGTAGTCGCGCTATAAACGAGGAGTAGAAGTCAACGGAAAGGCAAGTCGGCACCTAGCACGGAATTATAGGTCGCAATACTCGAGTTTGTGATTTTTCAGCAAGCCTGACGCTATGAAGTGAACGTACGCGTCTCCTGTGCGTGTCGAAGGTCAAGGCTCGAAGCAACGCCATCCGCGCTCAAGCTTCAGGGAAAAGCTTGGTCGCGGCGCATCTTCCCGCTCCCGGATCCGGTCAACCCCGGCCAACATGTCTCACAGCCACCACAGTTCTTCACGGCACGTCGATAACGCTGCACAAACGGGATACATTCCAGGATTGATATCTTTGTCCTTGTCATGATGTACATCGCGCAGTCGCGTACCGTCGTGTGTAACCCAGTCTTTTATATCCCAACGAACATCTTGAACTTCCCTTGAGCCTCGCGCCATCGCGTCATCATCGGTAAGGTATCCGGAACGGATGCGCCTCAGTATTGAACACGAAGTCGTCCAAGCTAATCTCGTCGTGATCACTAAAGATAAGATAGAAGTATTTCAGAGTTTCAGCAAGCCAGAAGCTCTGCGGAGATGTCAGTGATTGTCTCACGCGCGTTAGGTATTCGAGACTTACCTCCATGCTGTCACTCTTCTCTGGTGGAGTCTTCATGATGTCCTGAAGTGCGGCACTACCGAACTCAGTTTTGGTGTTTGCTTCGATGGCCCTGAACATATCCCACGCGATGTCCTGATACTTGGTCTCTCCAGTGAGCCGAAACATGTAGAAGACCGACTCGATTGCTTCCGGTCGAAGGATATAACGACCGTCATGCACGGCACTGAACGGAGCAGCGCCCGGTATGTAATCGCATTCCGACTGCGATGGGCAAGGCGTCATGGAGAAGACCTCAGGCATGATTCCGTTTGGCGCTTTCTTGTACGTCCACACACAGCCATCAGAGATCTTTCGGCCCACGTTGAAATGAGTTTGATTGTCGAAGAGCCGCCCTCCAAGCGCCAGCATACCTCCCGCGTAACATACCAGATGCTGCCCAGTGTCATCTCTCTGCCCGTCAGGACCATCGTGTTTAGCAGTAGCGATCAGAATATCGGCTTTGTCTTCCACCATTGGCCGAAACATGGTGTACGTGATCGCGGTGTCCATCGCGTATTCGTACATTCTGCGATACTGGTCAGCTGGATCGAATCCGTTGAGCAATTGATGCATCTTTGGCAGATACTCAAATGCTGAATCGGCCATGGCACCCAGCCCAAAAAAAGCATCAAAGGTTAAGTTTGGCGTCCTCATATCCACGCTGATCGGCCACATGCCAGGAAGTTTGGTGGATCCTTGTTGCTCGTCCAGGACGTTCGTAACTCTGGAGATGGCGTCGAAATATCTCATATCCCCAGTAATCTGAGAGAGACGAGTGAACTCTACGCTAGCAGATGCTGCTTCAGCTATGAGCACTGATAGTGCTGGCAGTTGCTCTTCTCCATCCGCTGCTTTCCCTGGTTTCCATCTCGAGACAGGCATACGATTCGATGTATCGAATGTCGCATATGCCATATTCGCCACTTCGAGTGCTTTGTTCAGAAGGCGGGCGTCATGACAACCGGACACGTCGTAGGCGCCTATGAAGCCTCCAAGATAGCGTATGATGATCTCAAACATGTTGATCTCGCTTTCGCGATCATCACTTGGTTTGAAATCAATCTGGAGCGCTGCTTCGACAGCTTCTGCAAACTCATCTTTCATGTCGAGAATCCATAACGTATCCAATGAGTCAACCAAGGTGGCTCCCCAGCCACCGAATTGAGTGGTTCGAGGTTGACCCGAGATAGGTGCAAGCTCATCTCTCATCCATGCACGCTCCTTGTAAGATCTCCAACTCCTCTGGAAAGTCTGTTTGACAGCCTCTCGGCGAAAGGCAATCTTTTTCGCGTCCAATGCCGCTGGATTGGGAGGTCGTTGAACAGCTTCTCTAAGCGAAGGCTTATGCGATGATAGTTGCACATAGTGGTCGACCGGGTGGTGACTCGGAATCGCTCTCCAATCAAATCGAGCGCCAGTATTTGGAGTCACAACTGGGTTAGGCGGTATCGCTGGGCACGCATGCGAGCTTTGAGAATTTCCAGTTGGAATTTGTTGTGGCTTCGGCGGCGAAGGGGGTGCTTGATCGTGGTGTTCTAGCGGAAGAATGGATGTTCTCGAAGGTGTAAGCTGAGCTGAAAAAGAGGATATTGTTACAAGGAAAAGAATGGTAGCGATGACGGCCAGACTCCATTTCCATCTTCTGAAAAACATGGTTGAGTCCCTAAGATTCCGGCAGGGGAACACGACGGAGGCGCTCAGGGAGACGAGGAGACGAGTTGAGCGGAAATTTCACACGCGCACTGCCGCAGCAACTTACAGCTTGCCATCCTGTTATAGCGCTTGGATCGTTTCACATTAAGACGAAGAAGGCTTTCGCAACTGTGCCGCAAATTATTCTGGGGGCTTATTTCCCACCTTCCCCTCTCAACCACGTTGAAGACCGTCAATGCTCTAGATGAGTGAACTATTAGTCCTCAACAACGATACCAACAGATTGACTTCATAGTATCACAGACTGGAGTATCGTTCCCTGGTTTGAGCTTTCAGAGTGCCACACACAGCGCGTAACTGGCGTGTTTTGACCACTGCAAAGTTGCGGCGTTGTCTATTTCGCGTCGTGCTCATTGGTCGAGGCGTCTCTATCACAACACCCCAGCCATGTATAATCCTTGCAATTCCGATCCTTCGGCATTCTCTCATGTGCATTATCAACCCCTGATGCAAATGCATGGTCTCTTCTTGCTGGCGCTCAGGAACAACGCTTCTGAATGATCACCGCAGCACTAAAGATAAGCTTCTTTGCATGCTTCTTACATACCAAACGAGATATCTCAAGTGTTCGTACACTCTACAAAAATGGTTCGCTGTTTGTCTCTAGTCTTTTGGTCTACTATCATATCCTCTATTGCATGGTGTCAAACCGTACAGGACAGCTGGACTGCTCCCGCGACTCCTGATGGATCTACAAGTTTGCAAAGCGGTGCTCCATTCACCATTCGTTGGAAATCAGGACTGCAAGAAGCTTTCAATATGTACTGTACTTCATGCGACGTCAAGAAGCTCGATCTCTGGGTTACGAGTTTTGAAGATGCTAGGTACAACTTCAAGATCGCTGGTAAGCGACACCTCTCAGTCATAAGAGCTATCATGATGTAGCGACTGGTTTGACATTTGATATAGGTAGCATCGACATCACCACTGACTCATCATACCAGTGGGACGTAAACATACCATTTGCAGCACTCGTAGCAAATGATTATTGGGTATTGCGCTTCACACCTGCTGGCGCACCAGTTGGGCCGGACGATCCGTATCCAGAGCAGATTTCGTCTTCAGGATTCTACATCAACGGCCCTCCGCAACCATCTACTATTATCAATACAGTCACAGCCCAGCTGAGCAGTAAGTCCCTCATGTGCTAAAGCAAGTCTGGTCTAAAGTGAAGCACAGGCTCTTCAGGGTCCGCATCAGCATCGTCGACCGTTCCGAGCAACGCAATGGCAAGCGCGACCTCATCCGCAACAGCGACCAATACACCCTTACCTCAAGATTCGAATTCTTGGAACAAAACCTGGATCGCTGGCGCAGTGTTAGGGCCGATTGTTGGCTTAGCACTACTTGCAGTGCTATTGTGGTTTCTATCAAAAAGGAGACAGAAGAATGACAGAATGCGATATACTGGAGCCGATTCAGGACAAGACGAACATCCTTTCCAGCCTACAAATCTCACATATCAAGACGGAAAATCTGAGCACACCCAGACGAATGCGTACCCTCTACAGGTCTTTGAAATGGCTGATGATTGGCACCACCAGACAAAAAGCTGCGGTCAAAGCCCTGCAGAGATGCCAGGTAATACTTCTGAGTACGGGCCTTCAGAGCTCTATTCAGGAAATCATACGTCGAAGCCGTAGCTTCACCTTTACTCTTGTTCTTCCTTTCATGTATGGTAAAGCGCATCTTGATAGCCTGTCATGCTCCAGATGAGCGAAACATAATGGGGGATAGATCGTCCATCGTTTACAACTTTTGTTGGCTATGATCTGTGAATGCCATAGCAACTACGCTAAGCAACGTAAGCAATCAACTCAAACTACGCCACGCTTCCAGAACTCTAAACTATGTCCGTATATAAGCGGTGTAATATGAGTAACCAGCACACATACACTCAAGATACAAACTCCCCAAAGCTCGTAGCGCTTTGAAATTCCTGTGCGACGACTGCACAAATCAGACATACTTCTCTCAACCGCACCACCGTTTCTTCAGAATCAACGCGACCCAGGTACCCAGCCCCCTCAAACATTGAGGAAAGTTGCATGCGTATGATGGGAAACTTTACAAGCAGTACAGCTTCAGATACCGCGTATAGCTGGCGCTGTCATCACTGCATGTCATCTTCATCTTATGTGAAACCATCTGCTGACCTCACCAGGTGAACAAATATGGTCGTTTACTGAGGTTAGGAACAAATGCCCAGACTGTGGACATCGGAAGTGCCGGAGGAGATGTGCCATCATGGGGCTTGCGCGGACGGATGAGCTGTGGCTGGAGAGAACTGGATCGAAGAGATTAAGCAAACGGTCGAAGTCGCTCGTTGTGGATTATTGCTGAGAGATGTTACCCCTATGGCGCGACGATGGAGTATGTTCCTTGTGATTGGTATGCAGGAGGCTGGGAGCTGTCGCGTTTGACTTTCACGCTACCTAGCGATGACATCATAGTGCCGCTAGCGACACAAGTGCCCAGGTGGCTCCTGCCACACCTGAATCATCTCCACACGAACCTTTCAGCATCAATCCCATTACAAATATATTGAACCATGATGCTGATGCTTGTGGCCGGCATGCTGTTCGGCGTGCTCGTCTCGTTTGGGTATCGCCTGACTCCTTTGCTGTCCAGCCCTAGGAAAGTCACTCTATCCTTTTCCCCAGCCTCACTCCGAATGGGGGAGATCATCCTGGCTATCATGGCGATGATCGTGAAACCTATTTTGTATGCGATACCCGGATTTCCGCGCGTAAAGTCTTCCGGACTAGAGCTCGACTCGCCTTTCATCATAGATGCGGAAGACGTCGCTCGATATCAACTAGCAGTTGGACAAGGAATTGGCGCAGGATCAAGGATTCCACCAGCTCAACTCATGCTTTTTCTGTCCGCTATGACTGAGCCCGCGATGCTTCTCCTCCTCGCAAGCCCCTGGTGTCCAATCAGTCCCCTGGGTGCCGTCAACGTCCGCAACAGGTTCGAGATACTACGCCAGGATCTATGCCACGTAGCGACGTTTGTGGGTATGAGGTCAGCTAATTTGAAGGCTATAGTACACAAAAACCCAAGACAAGCAAAACGAGGTATCGAGTGGGATTTGGAGGTCATGATCAATATTCCCACAGGGAGGAGCGATGGGACTGTGGATACCATATTTCGCCAAATCTTCACCATGCTAGAGTTCGGCAAAGTACAACCCAAGAAGGTTTCACAAAATTCTGATGAGACAACGCCTAGCATGGTGACAACCCCTTTGTTCGAAAGCACCACGCAGGTATCGCTGTCCGTGGACGATCCGCTGAGATGGGCTGCAATTTGCAAAGACTATAACTTCATACACCTGTCAGGGTTGGCTGCGAAGGTTTTCGGTTTACCAGGAAAGATAGCGCACGGAAATCACGTCGTCGCCAAAGCTCTGCAGCGTGTGCCAAATTTGGGAGGCTCAACATTCCTGCTAGATACATCGTTGTGGATGGAAGTGCATTTCAAGAGGCCGATGGTTGTGCCTGGTGTCTTTGATGTCAGTCTCCACAAGTCTAGCCAAACTAGCAATGATTTTTCTGTCTCTCGTTCAGGGAAAGACTATGCTACAGCCGAGTATGGTAGTCTACAGTTGTGAAAATATCAAGACATTGTTAAGCCAACAAAAGCTTGCTTTCAAGCTGGACCACCAACAGTACTTGCCGCGCTATAACATTGCATCTGTATTCAGATAGATATGATACCATACCTTCCGAGGTAGGTATGATATGTAGCATATCACTGAGTAGTGCAGCTTAAGTGGTTATGAACTACCTAAGTTTATGGTGGGGACCACGCTGGACTGTGGTGGCCTAACTTAAGAAACTACATAAGGCCCGCTTTTTCCTATCGTCTCTCATTCGTAGACGGCAGCGCAGCTGCCTAGTCGCAATCGTAGATACTAAAGAAACTACATTGTTCATCTTCTCCGCTCATGAGAGACGGAACCTTTTTACCCATTTCAAACCTGTACTCTACTTCAACCATGCGGACCCTTCTGACTGTTCCAATCACCATTCGTGAGCAAATTTACCACGAGCTTCTCACCTACATTCCATCGGAAACAGCCACCAAAGATGTCGCACCGTCCTCGCCAATATGCAAGCTGCTCACTCTGAACCGACATATCAATACAGAAGTGTTGAAGTTTCTGAGCAGTCAATTGTGCGTGGTGGTCAAGACTAATTATTCGCGTTTCGGCAATTCCATACTCGATGAACAAGTTTACCACTTGCCTCTCATTTCGCAATTACAGTCCCGCTCCGGAGCTATCAAAAAAGATTGCTCCAGATTTCCCGTTGCTATGGAATGGGACAGCTGCGTATTTCGAAGCAGGCTGCTAGCAGAGAGCACTCCATACTGCTTGATGCCAGCCACAAGCATGATGCAATTGACACAGATCGCCAGAATACGGTCAGCTTCGTGAGTGCATTTAGTACACATTGTACACTCTATGCATTTATTAACCTCTATTAGCCTGCTCGATACGTCTCTCACGTTCACACTTCTGGAAACATTCTCCTATTCCAAAGACAGAGCCCTGGAGATCCTCGTGGGCCCTTGGCTAGAGAATCCCATTCTCCGTCAGAAATTTCTTGCTGTCAGCACCAACAACGCGATACCTCCACTCCTGACAGCGGACTTGAGGGAGCACTGGCAGCGACAAGGGAGTGCCGGATATTATCTACTCAAGATTGACATGTTCAGGCGGAACGTGAATAGCGATACCCCAGAGAACACAGTTATACAATACAAGATGGTCTGTAAGTACGCCCGCCTAGTCTATGATTGCCAATTGGACTGCATTCGCAGCAACTATGGAGGTTTCCTTAGCCCGTCTACAGAAGACACGGTTCTCATGCTCTGGTCCGCAACTTGCACAACCGCTGCGGATCTAGTCGAGGTTCTATGTCATCTCGCAGGTACCTTTGGTCCTAAAGGACTAGAGGTAGCGGATGCATCGGACAGTGTGGCATTGCTACAAGAGGCGCGCAAGGTTGCCGAGGAGATGATTAGCTTCCTGTCAGATAAGCCCTTTTGTGCGCAAGAAGAGTCTATTACTTCGAACGCAGTGCAGATACCGGTTCGCAAGCAAAAGTTCTTGATGAGCTTCAAGGCGCATGTCGTTTGCAAAGCACTCGGAGACGTAGACGCCGCTATCGGTTATCTAGAAGATGCGATCAAGTACGATTCCGAGAGCCCAGAGAACCCGGTAGAGAAGTTGCATGAGCTAAGAGCTGAGCGTGGAACGGGAAATGAGGGATCTGTTCCCAGGGTAGTACGATGGACAAGTTAAAGTCGCGCTACACAAGCCATCGGCAATGTAATTCAACGGCAAACATGTCAAATGTTCAAGGTGGAGTCGGTGCGACGCGCTAGCACCCCGCATAGTATCTCCAAGATGCCGAGGTTCACACCATCTCTCCACTAGGGCTCTACCGACATGGCTGAATCGATCGTTACGCGTCCGCGCATGCTTACGCATATACACATACCCCCTTGAAGCTCACATATACTCCGTTGACCTCAATTGCACCTAACCCACTCCCACAACCACCGTGTAACATCTCATACCACCCCCAAGATGACGCACGCGGCCTCGAAAGACGACCTACGCGCCACCACGCTCTTCTCCTTCACCGAACATGTCGTCCTCGTAACGGGCGGCGCAACTGGCCTCGGGGAAATGGCTGCACAAGCCTTCGTCCAAAACGGCGCCCGCGTCTTCATCGCCTCACGCAAAGAATCCGAACTGCGCTCTACCACTGACCGCCTCAACGCGCTCGGCCCAGGTCGCTGCTCCTATATCGTCGCGGACCTGAAGGACAAAGCCGGATGCCTGGGTCTTTGTGAAGAGTTGAAGAAGCAGACGGATAGGTTGACGGTGTTGGTCAACAATACGGGGGCGAGTTGGGGAGACGATTACTACAACTATCCAGAGCATGCGTGGGACAAATTGTATGCACTGAATGTGAAGAGCATATTTTACATGACGGTGGAGTGTGAGGAATTGTTGACCAAGGGGGCTGATATGCACAATCCCTCCAGAGTCATCAATATCGCCAGTATGGCTGGTATCACGACTGTGGATGTTACGACCGGAGAGGGAGGTGGATTGAGTAAACCAGGGACTGGCACATTCAGTTGTATGTTGTCCCTTCCAACACGTCTTTATTTGCCTCGCTGACAGTGTGAACAGACGGTCCAGCCAAAGCCGCATGCATCCATCTAACCAAAATGCAAGCCTCGAAACTCGCCCCCAAGAATATCATGGTCAACGTCATTTGCCCAGGAGTCTTCCCCAGCCGCATGACGAATTTTGGCTTAGAGAAATACGCTGATGCGTTGACGTCTGGACAGCCAACTGGCAGGATCGGCAAACCTAGTGACTTTGGTGGGCTGGTGCTCTTCTTGAGTAGCAAGGCTAGTGCGCATATCACCGGAAACGCCGTGGAGATGGATGGAGGTGCAACCTTAACAGGATGGCGGGGGAAGGTTGGTGGTGGGGATAGTAAATTATGAAGGAGATGCGAGTTGTGAGATAGTTGTATGGGTATCATTTTGATTAGTTGACGAATGTGATACATAATGGTCAATGTTGATTAAGACCTGTGAAGATCCATTCACTCTTCCTCCTTCCATCACTCCAACCACAACTCCTCCATCGCCCTTACGATAGCTGAGTAGCCAATTGTGCGACCTGGTCCAGAATCGCCTGATCCTCTCGAACAGCGTTCTCCGTAACCTTGTCCTTCAGATGATCGACCTGCTGTGCCGCATCCGTAGGCGGCTGTCCCCTCGCCGTGTTTATCCTACTGATTTGCATCTCCAAGAAGAACTTTGGCGCCTTGATCAACCTAAGATATATCATGTCAGTATGTGTTTCGTATTGAGTTTGTACAGGAACGACTAACCCAAAGTTACCACCCGAAGAGCGCAAGCCAGCTTCAGTAGCTAGATAGACATTAAGAGCGTCCTGAAAAGCCTCAAGGTTGGAGTCGGCAAGCGGCACCGCTGTTGTGAAAGTGCTGGTAGCAAACTGTAGAGGTGTCTGGCCAGAGGTGCTGAAGTCGATTTTAGAGAAGGTCTGACTGCCAGAAGTCACGTCGGGGACATTTTCGAGTGTCTTTGCGTTGGGATCGCAAGTTACAGCGGCTTGGATTTGGTTGACTACATCGGCGGTTTCGCCAGGGAGGACTTCGTTGCCGATGATGAAGCACGCGTTGCCTTGGCGGGGTGTGATGTTGGCAGTCGGAGCGGCGATAGCAAGACCGCTGAGCAAAGTGAGGATAGTAATGGTGTTGGTATACATCTTCGATTCCGTATATGAATGTCTCGTCTTATGTATATAAGAAGAATAGAAAATACGTGATTGGCTGTAGAGCAAGAAACGAACGTTTAATAAGCAGTAAGATACCCTACCGGAGGGCAAGGAAAAGAATGTAGAACGTAAAGACTGACTTGGAACGAAACCGATGATCGATAACCAAGAAAAGACAACAAACAGCGCGCCATCACGCCTCTCTTATAAACGCCCTCATCATGCTATCGTGAGGTATCGTATTAGGCGCGTAAACGGCAATTAGGCACACGTTCGCGGGTGTCCCTGTATCACTAAGAGCGTTGCGACAATCCTGACAGGGCTGTCACGTTCGTCAGGTTTGGAGTTTCGCGACGCTTTAGGTTTGAGATCTTCGCGATGCGAGCAACATCAAGTCGCTTAAGCCAAAGGCGGCTGCCGAGCTCCGAAAACTTCACTCTTTCGTCCAATAGAGGGTGGGTCTGTATAGAGCCTTGCGGAGCCAGGCAAGTTTTCTCTTCATGCAATATGGTGCGCCACTATAGCTTGGCTGTTCGAGAGGGATGCAGGATGGCTTGAGAAGGGGGTGGAGGGAGTTTTGCAGGAGTTGCTCAATGCCGCTGAGCCGAGGTGCGAGAGCTGGTGAGTGTGAGCGAGGAGAAACCTCGCAGACATGTGGTTTTGTATTACATCGTGGATGATGCGCTTGTGTGGTAGGAAACTGTCGTGCAAGGCTAGTGACCAATCAACACTAGCGCCATCGTCATGGGGAAGGAACATCTTCACTCCAACGATGAGAACAGGGATCTCAATCACTTATTCGATTATCATCCACTATCGAAATATCATCATCCACATACAAGCAGCATCAACTTTGGTATCGACCATATCCGCTAACCCAAATCCTCACTGTGTCTTCGACCAATCCTATCCTCGAGGAAACGCCATCCTGAGAGTTCGTCTATGCATATGAAGCGCCCCCGTCGCAATTCAATTCAATGCCCACATACGCCATGCTATGTGTGAAGGTGCGTACAAGTTCCGTAGAAGAGTATGTAAAGTCGACAAAGGAGAAACACGAACGCGCTCTAGCGATGCTGGTATGTCCATAAATTCACTTTTGAAATCCAAAATGCAAAGGAAAAAGAGGGGAGAGAAGCAAATATTATGCTGTGGTCGTCCTTGGACTATGTATGGGTCGTTCCACGTGTTCGGTGATTGGACTTTGGCCCTTCGTCGTTGGCTGGTCGTCTGAGGTTCGTTGGGTTTCCTCCGCAATATCGCTCATGTCAGACTCGCCATCAGAGTCAGGTTGGTCTATTCTGAATGATTCGCGGAAATTTGCAGGCGTGATTGTCTGGGATGACACGTGTCGCGACTTTGTAGTGTCTGCAGACATCTTGCGGACGTAAAGCGGCTCATTACCGCCGCTCCCGGGAGAGGGCGCCCCCGCCGTGCCATGGCTGAAAACGCTGCCATCCCTCTCATCAGGGGAGACTGCTTCCGCCGCCTCTTGGAGTTGTTTTACTGTCTTCAAGCGTTCTTCTGCTGTGGTATTGTGCCAATCGCCACCAAACTGAATGACGGACGCCTTCTTGCCATGGACGGTAAAGCTACCCTTGCTACGCGCCAGTCCCCCGTCACCTTCTGTGCTTTCGCTGGTAATCGTAGAGGCAGAGTCCCTACCCTTGTGGCCGCGGCGGTGAGAAGAGCTGCCACGGGATTCTCGAAGAGTGCGATGCAGACTTCTTCTTTGCTTTGTACGAGATCTAGGCGACCCTGTCAAAGCAGCGAGAGATTGCTCATAGTCAACATCAACGGCAGATTCCGGTTGAGTGCCCTCGAAAGGTGTGGGCTCTGGCGTTCTCGGTTCCAGGTCACCCACCTCACCTGGAGGTGGAGTAGCGTAGCGAGAATCATCATCAGAATCGGAGTCAGAATCTGAGCCTAATGTGCCGTCGCCAGTTGTCGATATCGAGGGCCTATGGTCAGAAGGATACATCCTTGGAGACTGTGCTGAGGAGCTGGCAAACGAGCTTCGACGGTCAGATGTGCTGGGACAAAACAACATGGGCGAAGCCTGGAACTGTGCTGAAGGGTCTTTAGGGCTTGACTGTGTCGTCTCTGGTGGTGTCTTGAAAGTTTCATCTCCACCAAAATCAGTATCTCTAGAAGATTTGGTACCTGGACGAGCTGATGAAGTAGGAGACAGGGGAACCTGCTTGGGTCCACTGGTCATTGAGCTGGTCTTTGAAGTCAACCGCGCGAGTCCACTGACTTTTGACGTTCTGTTCGACTGCTGTGGAGAAAGTTGTGGCTGCTGTGCTTGGGTAGGCTCTGAGGCTCGGTCACTCTGTGCTTGTTGCTCAACAATGCCTTGCCTCTCATCTTCCAGCTCCTGAGCCAGAATGTCACGGTGGCATTTCATCCGCCAAATGTCAATGCGTATCCATTTCAGCTTTGCTGACAACCGGCCCGCAGCATGAATGACGAGCTCGCGAGTTTTTGGTTGGATAGGTGCAAGAATCTGGAGATGTCTCGCATCCCGCAGGCGTGCTTCCAGCTCTTTTATAGCATTGGTAAGCCTGTCCTCAGATTCAGTGATGCGCACTTGCATAAGATCTTTTCGAGCATTCATCATTTGCGTTGCAAACTGGCTGTCGATCTTGCCACTTTGTATCGTCACATCGCCAGTAGCTGTTGGTATTGTCTTGGTAGAATGCGATGACTCAAGGCGTCGCATGCCACGGTTCTTTTGGCCTTCATACAGCCCACCGATCATGCCTCTTGATCGAACGCCGAGTGTCTCAAACGCAGCGGTATAGTTTAGCACGCCTAGCCATTCGTTCAAGTCCTTCTCGCTATCGGCCAGAAACGTCTCCTCGCCTGCCTTTGAAAACATGACAAACGCATTCTTATGTTTCTTGTATGTGTTGTCAACGAGCGCGACCGCACCATCCATGGGTATGATGTGGTCTTGCTTGAAGTCGGGAAGTGCAGGTTGGAATACGACTGGGCCAGTCTCACCACGCTTGAGATGTTGATCGTGCTGGCTCATCAAGTTCTTCGCCCAAGTAGAGTTTCGGAAAAGAGACAATCCTGACCGCGTAAGAACAGCACCCCATTCTTGCCAAGGCGATCGTGCCTTCTTCTTCTTTGTGTCCTTTCTCCACAAGACTCCAACTTTTGTGACCGGCATTTCGACGATACCAACTGAGGTGCCGAAGGGGTTCTCTTGGGCAGCATCGGACATGAAAGCTTCTGGTCTTGATCGAGAGGACACGATTTGTATGACGCCGTATTTGGAGAATAACTTGTAAACGTTCTTGGTGTCCAGCGTCGCAGTAGTGCCAGTGTAATTGTAAGGATCGTCCAGTTGCATCACGTCTCGAATCGTAGGACGGAGGGCGTCTAATTTTCCTTCAAAGATAAGTGTGTACGGATCGATGGGTTCCTTGGCCGCTTTGCGCGCTGGATCGTTCATTGGCCCCTTGAGCACTGCAGTTCTCTTGCTTTTCTTCGAGGTGATGTTCTTAAGGTCGACCTCGTCCTCGATGTGGATGAATGGAGTATAGACAATATTGTCGTAAAAGCAACCTAAGACATCAGCCGAGACGCCATCACAGGAAGAGTTCTTGATGTAGTCCGGCCTTTGCATTTTGCGTTTGTTGTTTTTGTTGAATACGTCTGTATGCAGGATGATAATTGAGAAGGATATGAAATAAGCCTTGTCTGTAGTGTGTCAGCCATGGTGATAGATGCAAAAAGCTGTCTTCGTACCTGTGTTAATGTAGATGCCGGGGTTGCACTCGTGATACCGATCAGCGAACCCCTGCAGAACACGGTCGATTTGCTGCGTCTCCTTGGGTAGTTCAACCTGCATGAGTAATTTGCGGATGGCCATGTCGATTGGATCACCGAAGAAAGCAAATTTTCGCATGTAGCTTCGTAATACTGCGAGAAGGAACGGATCGTCAGTCTTGCTGAGATAGCTTGCAACGACGCTCTTGTCGAAGTTGTTTGCCTCGATTTTTTCCAAATACCGCCCAGGTGTTTCACCCTCTTCGCGATCTGGTAATATGAGTGCTTCCCGGCTGATATTCATGGAATTTTGGTGTGAAGACAAGGCTGAGCTTCCTAAAAGGCCGTGAGCAGGTGAAGCATGCCTAGGTGAATGGGGCTCGGAGTTCTGACGAAATCTTGAACTCAGGCCGAACAAATTGCTGAAGCTACTCCTTCCTGCTGTGGAGGTAGAGTTTCTTCCGCTGGGTCCACCAGGTGGTGTTGGCGAACCTGCGCCGTCCGACCGCCCGCCCATTGATCCCATGGTCGATGAGCGCCCCCTAAGCCCCATGCGAGCTGAACCATTGTTGTTTGGCGAGGTACGAGCGGATCGGGTTGACCTGTACGAGTCGTTGCGAAAGAGAGTGCCTGGACCAGATGAGGCTAAATTCAAAGCACCAGCAGCTAGAGCAACTTGCGATGCAGAAGGGACTGGTGGCGTCTGTGCCCCAGATTCTCCATGGGTGAAGCGCCGGGCGGTCAATGGGGGACTTTCGGTTGGTGAATGATGGATTGAGGCGGAACTCCTCGCGCCGGTGGACTGGCGTGGTGTAGCAGGCGCTGTGTCGGGGAACTGCGGAGGCTCGATTTTCATAGGGAGTGGAAATAATGATGCACGCTGTTTTCGACGGCCAAAGGTAAATCGTCCAGAGCCAACGCGGGCCGGGTGAGCGGGTCGTGGGGTCGACTCAAAAGAAATATGTCCACCGGAGCTTCCATCTGACCTGGACGACTCGGATGCCCTGGTGGGAGGAGCCAGGGAAGTGGTGCTTTCCGCAGATTCTCGCGATTCGGCAAGCACGTCGGGGCGGCGTTGGCTGCTCGTCGAGGCTCGCGCCTTCTCGTCCAGGAGGTCTCCATGACTCTTCTTGAAGCCTAGTGGCTTCCGCTTCTTCTCCATCGACTTGCGCAGCGTCGTCGGTTTGTCAAACGTGGACGGATCGAACGAGCGCCGGCGCAGGGCGAACTGTTGCATCCTGCTCCGTTTGGGCGGAGTCTTGTCCTCGTCTTCGTGGTCGGCTACGGTGGGTGCAGTGGTGATGATTGCGGGCGCTGCGCAGCTCTACGTCAGTACTCCAGCCTTCTGCCATGTGGGATGCATCCATATACGTACGCGCAGGATTACCGGGCACGCGAGGGACGGGCGGTGCATCGTCGTCCCGGGCGGCATGTTCCTTTGCCTTGGCGGAGAGTTGCGGATCAGAGGCATGGCGGAAGCGCATCAGACTGAAGCGCTTGGTGTTGGGAGTGTGTTCCTGTACGGGTGGAGAAGGCGGGGAGTCGTCATCATCATCATCGTGGCCTGTCGAGGGCCGCGCAATGTCGGTGGATGTTGGACGGTAGCCATCCTCAGAGGCAGCGATTCGGCCTGAGTCCAGATTCTCGGCCGACCTGTCGAAGCGCGCGTCCTTGTCGGCGCGCTTGAAGAAGCCGGCAGGGTCGAGGGTACTCCGTCGCTTGAGGTCTCGTTCGCTACGGCCGGGGCGGAGGGAGCGCAGAGGCATGGCTGCTCGCGCCAACTAGCAGCTCATGAATGCAAGTAGGGCGTCACGGTGCTTGACATGGCACAGCGGGGTGGGCAGTTGAGGGGGTCAGTCAAGGGCGTCGCTTTATGGGCTCTTTGGACTGTAGGATGGCTCGGATGCGGCACGCCCACAAGGCTGACGGAGTGATGCTAGGATTAGTCGGGGAGGTGAGATGTGGGAGCCGGTCGAGAACTGGGCACGGCGTTGGACACGTAGGTGTTGGATAGGGCAGTCGACGTCACAGTGTCTCGCTATGTTGTATAGGGGGAGGATACCAGGCCTAAGGGTAGCAGATCAGCTGTCACCAAGGCACTGACGAGCGCACTGGTCTTCTCTGCAGCGCAGTGGAGAGTGCCTAGCGCAGCGTTGGCGTAAATGGCCGCGCCTCGCAAGCTCCACCAGCCACAATTCCCACGTTTCTTCCAGGCATGCTATGCTCAGGCACACGACATCTTCTCCACCCTCTTCCCGGCGCTTGCTGGCCACCACCATAGCATCGCATACATAGTTGGCTCACCGCTTGCCCGGCCACCCATCCCCGCAATGCGCCAGCCCGTTTGCGCTCTGCTGAGTCTGCTGCTTCTCGGGCCACAGCTGGCAACGGCCGCCCCGCACGACGCAGCGCCGTCTCCGTACGATGCAGGAACCTATGCTTCGACCCACAATGCGTCCCCACGACCGTGGCGGCGGCTTTCCGACGCGATAATACGCAATATCTGGCGACTGCCAGAGCATCAAAAGAGCTTGGGTGGGCAGAGTGCGCAGACTGGCCGCGATGCGCTGGGCGATAAGCTGGTCGCGCAGTATAGGGATGATGTCGTGTTGAGGTTCAAGATAGGCACCGCCCAAGAAGCCTCGGCACTAGCAGATGCGGCAGACATCCTCTTCCTCGACGTATGGGAGTTCAATGAGGACTGGGCAGACTTGCGGGTATCCAAGGACGTCGTGCCTTCCTTGTTAGGACTGCTGCCTGCATCGCTGAAGGACTCCCACGCACCACTCCTCCAGGACATCGGCCTCGCACAGGCAATCTTCAACTCCTACCCATCGCCCGACTCTACACCTGCTTCCGACAACGATCGCTTCTCTTCAAACCTCCGGCCGTCCTCGCGATCGGGCAAGGGCAACATCTTCTTCCAAGACTACCAGCCACTCTCCGTCATAAACCCATGGATGAGTCTGATGGCTTCCATGTTCACCACACACGTCCGCCGAATCAACATTGGAATAAGCTACGAAGGCCGTGACATACCCGCCCTACGTGTTGGCGTGCACCCCACAAACAACGAGGAGCCGTCCAAGCCGCGGAAGACGATCCTCATTACCGGCGGCATCCACGCGCGTGAGTGGATATCCACAAGCACCGTAAACTACCTAGCCTGGAGCTTCATCAACGCTTACGGCAAGGACCGTGAAATGACTCGTCTCATGGAGGACTTTGATTTCGTCTTCGTCCCAACTCTAAACCCAGACGGATACGTCTACAGTTGGGAGACCGATCGTCTATGGCGCAAGAACCGCCAACCCACCAGTCTTCGTTTCTGCCATGGCATTGACCTCGACCGCAGCTACCCTTTCAAATGGGACGGCGCTTCTCTGCAATCGAACCCCTGCAGCGAATCATATCCTGGTAGCGCTCCGTTCGAAGGCGCAGAATCAGCGCGTTTCGCGGAATGGGCGAGGAACGAGACTGACAACAACAATGTTGAAATTGTTGGTTTCCTAGACCTGCACTCATACTCTCAACAGATCCTGTACCCATATAGTTACTCTTGCAATGAGGAGCCCCCAGCAATTGAGGACCTCGAAGAGCTCGCTCTTGGCCTGGCGAAAGCTATCCGCGTGTCTCGCAAAGGGCAAACATACAAGGTCAACTCTGCATGCGAGGGCAATGTTGCCTTCGCCAACCAGAAGAAGACCATCCTTCCACGTATCGAGTCCAGTGGCGGCAGTGCACTGGACTTTTTCTACCACGAGCTCAAGGTCAGATACTCTTACCAGATTAAGTTGAGAGATACCGGCAGCTACGGTTTTTTGCTTCCTAGAGAAAACATTATACCCACCGGAGAGGAGATGCTAGACGCGTTGTTGTACTTTGGCCGCTTTATGCTGGGAGAGGTTGGTATCATCACCCAGGAGCAGCCAGCTCAAATTGTAAAACCTAAGATGGAGGACAATGGAGAAGCAAACGAGACTGAGGTCATGGAGTTATAATTGATAGTTGACTTAATATATCCCCCAAGCTTGCCTACGCGTATTGCGTACAGTATGAAGAGACGCTCGACGAATCATAACTGCTTTTGTACGTAGTGCGTCCGATGCAGATCTTGAAAACGCAAGCGCGCGGTCGAACTTCGTACGAACTCACACAAGCGCAAAGGCGTTAAAAAGAACCTTGGAAGTCACACAACATCCGGGTTCTTGGAAGTTGGTTTTTAACGGCCGCCATGCAGGCAGCGTTCTCTTGCACGTGGGAGGCCCGTGCTGCGACCGTTAGTTCAGCATAGATCCTTACAACGTCATTGCTCGAAGTCTCGTCGACACAAACAGCTTACGCGCTTATCACCAACCGCATCCACTAACGTCGACGTATGGCGCCGTCAGAACTCCGGGGCATCTGCGACTGTGACATCTTCTCTCTCTAGTGACACTTTCACCTTCGCTGTTGATTCGCACCTTGGCTGGAATTGATCACCATGGCGTCAAGCTCTACCGAAACGACTCCCTTGGTCTCGTCAATGTCGAGCTCAAGTCGAGCGATACCTCCCAAGCCTCAGCGAACTGTCACATTCAACCCAACCGTCACATCGACTAGTCCGAAACCACCGTCGCGGTCAATCTCGCACAGCGCCTCTGCTTCCGGCCATGGTGCCACTACCCAGGGTGGACAGCCCATGCTTTCGACATTGAACAGTAAGCTGCGGAGAAGGAACAGCTCCGGTGCGCCTGCCAGAATACCTCCCGCGCCGGTGCCCAAGATCGGTCCCCAGAGAACGACGAGGACAGCCCAGAAACTCAAGCTCCTTCCCGACCCGGCCGCGGATGAGGCCGAAGACGAAGAGAGTGGACGCGATGTCTATGTGCAATACACCAGGATAAAGGACCCCACAGCGCGAAGGGATGCAGCCAGACTAGGAAAGGCAGACAGGGAGCGACTACCGAGAGTGACGGCATATTGCACGGCCGCGTCGTACAAGCTCGATGAAATGATGCGATTTCTGAAAGGCAAGCAAAAGATCAGAGGAGCCGCGCCGAAGCGCTTCGATGAATGCATATACTCGCCGTACAACTATGGATCAACAAAAGGCCCAGAAGACGTCAGCAGTACTGCTGTACTCGACGGCTTTACGGAAGAGAGGCCGAGAAGGTTCTCGGACAGCGCCATTGAGGTGGAGCACGAGAATGAGAGAAGGAGGCAGGATCTCATCGACTTGCACGAGGATGGCGATGCGCCAGAAATTGTGAATGAGCAAGCCATTGGCCCTAGACGGCCGTCGATCACCCACGCCGACTTGGATCCGCAAATGGACGCGCCAGATTTCGATACACGCGTGCATACTCCGGAAGTGTTCTTGTTCGAGTATGGCACTGTTGTCATCTGGGGTATGACGTTGCAAGAAGAAAAGAAGTTCTTGAAGGAAATAGCCAAGTTCGAAGTTGACAAGCTCGGCAAAGACGAGATCGAGACGGAAGAATTCAACTTCTACTACACACGCGAGTATCAGGCCCGGATATACAACGACTTCATTAGTCTACGCGACAAGAAGAACTACATGATCAAGCTGGCCATCAGCCACGGCCTTTCGCAGAGTGTCAAGACATCGCTTTTTGAGGATCTAGTAGACAACACTATCGATGAGACAAAAGACATCCCGGCCGAAATCGCCAGCTCTGGCAAGATCAACCTGAACAAAAAGCAAATCAACATGCAGATAGGAGAGCTCTTCATCCTCCGTATCAGTATACATCTGCAAGGATCGGTTCTGGACGCGCCAGAGCTCATGTGGGCTGAGCCACAGCTAGACCCTGTGTACCAAGCTGTGAGAAGCTATCTGGAAATGGATCAGAGAGTCAGTCTTTTGACCGAAAGATTGAACGTCATTGGAGACTTGCTTGCTGTTCTCAAGGACCAATTGACTGTGACGCACGTAAGTAATGCCGTGTTTCATGTACAAGTGTTTTGCTAACTGGATGCAGGGCGAATTGCTTGAGTGGATCGTCATTATTCTTATTTTTGCTGAGGTGCTGGTGGCTGCTATTAACATTTTTGTCGACTTGCACGCAGCGGACTAATCCGACGTGCCCGCTGTATATATTTGCTGGTGTACGATATTTTGCTCAGTGCGCGCGAACAGGTCTGGGCCTCTTGCAAAGGCCAATTGCACGGCGTTGGGTTGCGGGTATCTGTGTTTCCTTTTCCGTTTCTGGTATTGTTCCTCACATAACGAAGGGCGGATGTCACGGAGGCGAAATTGCGAATGGGAACGTCAAGAGGACGGGTTAGTGGCGAGAAAGTAATATAAGACTAAAGGCGGACGATCGCATTGTTAAGCTATCTTCCCAAGCAAGGCGGAGCTGGTCATCTCCGCCCGCTGAACCCTGTCGCGCCCCATCTTTCCCTATGCGACCCTTTTGAGCATTTCACCGCATGCTGTCGCCCTCCACCCGTACTGAGCCCCAATGAGCCGTCCCAGATGAGTTGGAATCTGCTAGAGCGCTTTATAGAATCTGAGCACTTCAACCAAGATCCGAGCCTCGCAGTAGCATACCTTGCGTGAGTCGCTGCCGCTCCCCGAAGCCACCGTTGCCCGCAGCACCGCCGCCGCGCCCTCCCTCTCCCTGTCCCTTCACCGAGACCACCGCATTGGGAGCCAAGACTGACATCTAATATCTCAACAGCCGGTATGCAGATCACGTCGGAATCCACTATGTGCTCTGTTCGAAGCTGCGCCAGTTCGCCTACGAGGAGCTCGAGTTCTTCCTCCCGCAGTACGTCGCCGCGAGCCCACTCCACTACTACGACGACATGAACAGCTAGCTTACATACGCGGGGCACAGGCTATGTCACCTGCTCATCAGCATCGACAATGAGTCCATGGCTCTGGAGGAATTCATAATAGACTTGTGCGAGGAGTCGGTCAACGGCGCGCTTCTGGTGGGCTTGCGGATACCGTGTCTTGTTAGCCGCTGCGGGTGCTAATCTCTGCCCTCTAGACATTTTGGCTGTTCCAGACATATCTCCACGATCTCGCAAGCGCCCCCAACTCCATCGCATTCAAGACATGTCGCCGAATATACAATAGAGTCCAGCGCATCGTCTTCGGATCCGCCGAGCCGCAGCGCCGAGAGAAGATCAAGGAGAACGTACTCCCCGTCACCGTGCTCTCTAGTCTGGTCCTTGCGAGCATAGCCGCGCCCTTTCTCCCAGCTCACGCCGGCCCTCTGGCAATTGCGCAGGCGCGGAAACCCAGACCCGTCGAGGACATTATCTCGGATAACGTGCAGACAGCCAAGGTCGGAAGGAGCAAGACTGTCACTGGAGGATCGTCAAGAAGCAAGGAGAAGAGGGTAGCAGCCCAGCACTCAGACCCCGAAGATGGGCGCTCGATCAAGGCTTCGTCTTCGCGACCCCGCGACCCCAAAGAGCTGAGGAAGGCGGCAGCGCGGCCACCAGCTGCTCAACGGGCCCCTTCGATGCAACACCGCCCTTCATTGTTGTCAATAGCATCAGAAGCCCGGCTCAGCTCGTCATCGTTACCCGACTTCCGAGACGGCAAATCGTCCCCCCTCCCTACTCCCCCAGCGACTGCCGGTTTAGGACCAGGCCCACTTCAACATGGCTTACGCAAATCCGGACTACCACCAAGGCCTCTTACACCTACTGCATTGACCCGTACCCAGAAAATTCGACTTCTACGATCCAACTACTTCCGCAACGAAACTCAGTTCCTGAGCGCTCTCGAGGACATCTCAAATCGCTTGGTTGTTGTTCCAAAACCCGCACGGTTGAGCGCGCTGAGAGCTGAGCTAGCATTGATAGATCAGGACTTGCCAGCCGAAGTAGACATACCTCTATTATCGCCTCCGACTCTCAAGGACGGGATCCCATCGCAAAGCCAGCATCACCGTATAGTGCGCATAAACCCTGCGGAATCAACTAGTCTCAACAGTGCAGAGCGAGTACCTTACCTGCTCATGGTTGAGGTTCTGGAGGAGGATTTTGATTTCGACCCAGACACTGAACAGAATCAGCAGCTGCTCGAAAAGTTGATGCTAGAGAAGGGCACCTCGAGAAGACGTCTTTTCGACATTACCAATGCCGAGTATCTTGCATTCGATCGCACACCGCCCAACGGATCCGATAGTGTGTTTGAGCCTGCTACTGGAGACCTGGGTAGTACCTCACTCATCAAGGATATGGATGAGAACGACATTGCGTCTGGAATGGCGCGCGTGACATTACCTAGTGCAACCGCCAATGGGAAAGCCACGGCCCCAAGGTCTTCAAGCGGAGCGAACACTCTATCTTCAGTGGCTACCCTTTCTACGCCACGAACGTCCGACTCGCAAATCAGCAGATCGAACAGCCCTGGCCCTATCAGGCGTATGACAGTTCCAGCAAACCTCAATTCACGGAACCAGGCCGTCGACCAACCAGACTTCTCGGCCCTCGCAACCCACATGCGCACTGCTGCTCAGATGCTCGCACAACTTGAAGCAAGCGGCGCAAAACGGCCAAAGGGCGAGGTGGCAGCCATCAAAGCCAAGATCATTGCTAGTATGCAGACATTGGAAGAGCAAAACTTCTTGAACGAGGATCAGGGACCAACATTCGACACAATCATGGCAGAATCAGATCCAACAGCAATCACAGGCGAACCAGAAGAACTTGAAGATGGTCTGCCGGTCGCGACCAACTCAGGTGCAGGTGCAGCTCGTATGGAGAACGATCTCAAGACGGGTGGTATGCGGCGGAAGGGTGACCGTGACGATCCCAGTGCCGCGACTTTCGGTGAAGAATGGAGTGCAAAACGAGAACGGATACGACGGTCCTCACCATACGGCCACATGAAGAACTGGGATCTCATCAGTGTCATTGTCAAGACAGGTGCCGACTTACGTCAAGAAGCCTTTGCCTGCCAGCTCATCGACGTTTGCACCAAGATTTGGGAAGAAGCAAATGTACCCGTCTGGACAAAACGCATGCGCATTCTCGTCACAGGCGAATCCTGCGGACTCATCGAAACCATTACAAACGGCGTGTCTCTCCACTCGTTGAAGCGAAGCTTAACACTAGCCAGCATAGCAGCAGGCACCAACCCCCGCAAACGCATCGCAACCTTGAAAGATCACTGGCTCAAGACCTTTGGCGAACCAGACTCGGAAGCTTATATTGCGGGTGTAGGTTGTTTTGCCCGCTCCCTCGCTGCCTACAGCATGATTTGCTACGTGCTGCAGCTCAAAGATCGCCACAACGGCAACCTCCTCATCGACAACATGGGCCACATCATCCATATCGACTTTGGTTTCATGCTGTCCAACAGTCCCGGCAGCATGGGTTTTGAAGCCGCGCCTTTCAAGCTAACGCAAGACTACGTTGACGTGCTAGGTGGTGTGACAGGCCCTGCGTTCGAAGAATTCAAGACGTTGTGTAAAAAGGCGTTCCAGGCGCTGAGAAAGGATGCGGAGAGGCTGATTATGCTAGTTGATCTTATGAGTAAGAACAGTAGTATGGATTGTTTCAAGGCGGGTGCGCAGACTGTGACGAACAGTCTAAGGGCGAGGTTGATGCTGCATTTGAGTAGGGAGGAGGCTGAAGGGTTCGTCGAGGAGCTGGTTGCGAAGAGTGTGGGAAGTTATTATACCCGACTGTAAGTTTTTCCCTTTTTACTTCCCTTCCTTCGTTCTTTGGATGATAACGGCGGTTTTACTGACATGATGATAGTTACGATACTTTCCAGTACCGCACACAAGGCATATATTAAGTTTGTTTGCGGCTGCTACTGCTTTGCATTAGTGGACATCGTTGCGAGGCATGCGAGAGTTTTCTTCTTTTCTTTTCTGTTTTGCATTTCTTGGAGTACCTTGTGTGTAGGGAGAGAGTGAGGAAGGAAGTGAGGAGTCCATGCTGTGTACGCGCGCTCTTGGGCAAATAGAAACACTGTGTGGCTAGGACATATGGACAGTCAAAGCTACAGCACGATACTTCAATTTCACGTTGCCTGTTGTCCCAAACCTGCGAACAGGTTCTTGATTTATGTGAATTGGACAATATCCTCTGCGGTGTTCCAAACGATAGCCACTGTCGTCTCCGCTAGAACTAGAATTAGAGCGCACCCGCTCTTCCTCTGAAGAAAGGATCATTTATAAATAAAGCTTCGAATACTCCGTTGTAGGAAACAATATACCGCCCTATTCCGGCACACTGCCAAACCCCTCCTTCTCTCGCATCACCCTTCCCTTCTCTGATAGTTTTTCGTTCTTCATAATTCCTGTCATCGAATTAGTTTGATGCAACTCATTTGTGCCTTGGAACCGTCATCCTCATCACCACCACCCACGGCATCGCCACGATAAAACAAGAAAAGGGGGAATAACATACCACCGAATTTCCCCACCACCTTGCCCATCATGGAATCATGACCTGGCCCGCTCATCTCACCGGTTTTATTCCCATACCCTGCGCCACCCGTAGAGCCGCTGCCCATGGGCGTGGCGTTTGAATACGGTGCCGTGTTTGAGTGGGAACCGAAGCGGAATTCAGAATTGTCGGTTGAAGGGGTAGATGAGGAGCGTTTGTTTCCTATTGTTGGTGGTGGGCATCGTTAGCCGTCTGGCTCGTGAAAGAGATATATAGGTATGGCTGTTTTTTTTTTGAGACGCAGATGAGGAGAAAGATCAGGTACGTACCGAAACCAGCACCACCTGTTATGCCTGAGCCGTGTTTCTCATGAGGCTCATGGTAGGCGGTATTTGAATCTATGAGGCCGAGACGGGTGTTGGTGTGTTGGTCTTGGAGGTCTTCTGCAGCATAGTCTGGTGCTGTGCGGTTCCCGTAGCCTGCCATTGTTGTCGTCGTTGGTATCCGTGCGGTGAACTGTGAGTAAATGCGTGTATCTCTAGAGAATGGGGAACAGAATAGGAGTATGTGGAGAAGACGTAGAGTTGATTGGAATGGTATTTCTGTTTGGGCAGTTTCACAGAGATCTCTGATCGACTATATAATATCCGCGCCTCCTTCTCTACTATCTGCCGTGTGCTGGCCCCCAGTATGAACAAGCATCTGGCAAAGGCAGAAAAGCCTTATGAGGTCACTTTGCTGGGGGAGGCGTAGATCATCTGCAGCAGAAGCTCTACAAGAGGGTGGAAGACCCGGCCAAGGTGTGCTTGGTGTTCCCTGTAGGCACGCTAAATTCCGCTTATGTGGATCGGAGGAGATAGTGGCTCGTACTAGGCCCAAGGTTCAGCTATCGGTTCTGTACGGAGTTACACTTCCACAGCCGCTCAAGGAGCGTCTGCTACTATTCTTCGCGCAAAACACAGCAGTCTGCCTCTGCTGCACGGCAAGGCCTCTCTCTCTGACATATTTTGAAACAAGATTTGGACCTCGATAGATGCCATTCATTCGATCGATTCCTAGTAACGATGGTCTGAGGCGAGAGATAAAGCTGACATCCAGAAATGGTGGTCGTCGCCGCTGATCCAAGATAGCGATAAGAATCCCGCTAGGTTCCGTCTCGTCACTGGTTACTTTGTACCCGCCAAGATCTGGGGTATCCCACACTCCTTTGTAGATTGCTTAAGAAGTTCCAGAGCCTGTGCGCCAAGGACCCTAACGCCCGCAATGCGATGCATGATATTCGAAAGTCGGATAAGTAATACTGCGAAAGGCGATGACCTCATCGGATGTATTTGGACTGTCGCGTAGTGTTAGTGAGTGTTATGCGTGGCACATTCAAGGGGTACATACCATGAACTTCTTATGGAAGTCGGATCGCAACATGTCGTTAATAAATTCCTTCTTCTTGTTCCTGTCTTCGGTGCCTCGTGCTTGGTTCTTGAAGACCACGTCGTCGTCCCATCGGCGCTTCATGGTGAAGTCTTTCGCATTGAGCAGAGGATTGCCTCGGGCGACGTCGATTTCGCGTTGTTCTTCCTCTTCTGCGGCGCGTTCTGCCTCCTCCTTGGCTTTGGCTGCAGCGCGCTCTTTCTTGATCTTCTCAAGTTCGCGCATAAGGGCCGCGGTTTCGTCCTCTTCGTCTTCGTCCCTGGAAGGTTGTTAGCAAGGGGTTGAAAGCTGGACCAGACTCGGCACTTACTCTTCATCGCTGCTTTCGTCCTCGGTGCTGCTGTCGTCTGCATCTACGTCCCTGAACTTTTCCAACACCTCTATGCGCCGCCGCTTTTGAGCTGCTTCATCTTCCTCTCCTTCCTCGGCTGCTGGTACAGCATCGATCTGACGTTTGTGCGCATTCGGCTCAGCTGCCGCCTCCGGTTCAACGTAGGTGCCGTTCTTTTTCGCAATGTGACGCGCCTCAGCCTCGAGAAGTTCGGCGCGAAGGTCGCGTTGAGCATCGGCATCACCGCCTTGGCCTGGTTGTCTGTGTTTGAGTGTCGTATGCGCTGGTAGGAGTCGCTGATGATAGGCGGGTCCTCGCTGGGCTTCTTTACCGCGTGCGGGATCGAACGTAGGTCTGTGGGCCGTCGTCATTGTGTCGGTTTATTATGGGTTGGTCGGATTTTGAGTTGGCACGGGTTTCGGAAGTCTTGCGCGTAGTTGGGGTGGTGAGTTGTTGATGCGTGAAAGAAATGGCGCATAGAAGCTCGAAGTCGTAAATCACGCTAAGGATCGGCGCCGGTCCCCGCGCATCATTTTCTATGGCTATTGAACAGCTATGATTTCACCAACGACAATCTCACGTACCTGTCATAGAAGGTCAAGATGCCCAGAGAAGCTGAGATATCGCTCAATGAGCGCGAATTCATCAAGCAAGCGCTGCAGGAGCAAATACGCATCGACCGACGCGCATTCGACGCCTTCCGTCCGCTTGAGCTCACCTTTGGCGACGAGTATGGCGTCGCAGATGTTCAACTGGGCAAGACGAGGTACACAATATTCTTTGGATCCGAGTGCGCAAGTTAACCTTCTTCAGGGTCATCGCGCGCATTTCGGTAGATGTGACGACACCACTACCAGAGCGCAAGTTTGACGGCATCTTCCAAATAGTCACAGAGTTCTCTCCAATGGCTTCACCAGCCTTTGAAGTTGGCCGGTACACATATCTCCAAGTCCACCAATTCTCGCTGTATCTGACTGAGTTGCTAGTCCCACAGATGCTGAAGTCATCCTTTCACGTATACTCGAGAAAGCCATCCGTCGCTCCAACGCGCTCGACACCGAATCGCTATGTATCATTGCTGGCTTGAAGTGCTTCGCTCTCCGCGCAGATGTACACATCATTGACCATGATGGCGGACTCATCGATGCATCTTGCATAGCCGTCATGGCCGCACTACAACACTTCCGACGACCCGATGTCCAAGTAGAAGGCGACCAAGCTACAATCCTTAGCGTACGAGAACGCGAACCGATACCCTTGTCCATCCTTCATCAGCCGCTCTGCGTGACCTTCTCATACTTCGAAGGTGAAATATTCCTGGTAGATGCAAACTTGGCCGAAGAGCAAGTCAGACAGGGAGAGGTCATCATTACCATGAACAAACATGGCGAGATATGTCAGATTGCGAAGTATGGAGGAGCCACGATCAACCCACTGGCTTTGCTGAACTGCACAAATGTTGCAATGCAAAAGGTCAAAGAGATGGGTGCCTTTATTCAGAAGAGATTGGAAGAGGATGCCAAAGCAAGGGATGCCGGAGGGTTGATGGCAGAGCTCAGCGCTGAAAATGCCAGGTGAGACATCGCACGAAGCAGAACAACCTTACGAGAGACTACAAGTCTGGCCAGATGGCCAGTCTGCGACGCTTCCAAATACTGTGGCGCGGCCCAACTTCGTCCGCCGAGCCTCTACACACATCAGGAAAGTTTCCAGAAAAGGATGCACCGTGGGCCCGCTGATGATGTGGGTCGGTGATTAGTTGGCCCCTGGAACGGCTACCGGGAAAGCCGAAGACCAGAGCGCGACATGCAAATTCTAGAAGTAGCATGTGAATGTCAACGACAGTTCAGATTAGGCCATACTACATGTACATTTGCGAACTCAAAACTCAAGACTCAAAACCAGATCAAATTCGCAATCCCGAGTTCATCATAACATTGTGAATTTCTTGCGATATCCGACTGCATCAGCACAATGCGAATGTTTGAACATCAAGTCTAGATCTTTTGAATTTGTGACACGGTGACGTAGCTGACAAACCTTTGGAAGCGCGACCGCGTCTAATTACTGTCGAATCGCGGCGCCTCGGCCCACGCTTCCCTGCAGCTTCATGCGACAGCTAGCACCTTACTCGAATGACATCTCCCCACATGCCATAACCCCCTCCTTTCGAGCGGACAAAATCGTATCCTTCATCCGAATGAGACGCTCGTAATGATATATAGGTTACCATCCAACACAATCACTATTGAATCGCATTTCTAGAGTCGTTTCACTCCGGATCTTGAACATTGCGTCATTCAGGGTCTGACTGCATTACGTCTTCTATCTTAGATACCAAGCATCCGGCACATCCTCACAACCACACTTGTTTTTTAACACTGCTTTTCTCCAGTTGCGCATTCCACCACTCACATAACACAATATGTCGTCGAAACTAGTACCGTCCGACCCAGCCGCCGTTATGGTGATACGCGATGTCGTTCCACGCGTTATCACCACTCTATCAGTTCCCTTCTGGAGATTCGGACGCATAAAGATTGGCGGAAGAGGAACAATCGGTATGCCGTGCCCAATCGACACCTCACAAGCACTTACTAATCTACGCGAATAGTCCGCCTCGAATCCGGTGCTCTTGCGGTCTT